GTCTTGGGGAGGGCCATGGGGGGAGGCTGTGGAGGTATTCTTCATTTCGGAACCTTTTGAGGATTCCTTATTCGAGCATTTGAAGACGCAGGTCGAGGGCTCCCAGGGAGCGCCAACATAGAAGGTATCGCAAATAGATTACCCTCTCTTCTCAAAACTCGACTGAGCTTCTGGTGAATGTCTTCCTCTTCACTATCATCCTGATCCCCGTTCTTCTCCTTCTTGTTCTTGGGGCGAGGCGATACGCTCCTTGTTGGTGAGTCCATGATTGGTTATTTGTTTCGAAATCACTGTTGGTGAGATGAAATGAGGAGGCATTGAGGTGAGAATGGATCAGGCTGAGGATTCGAAAGTAAGCCGCAAAAGCGCCTGACAAGGGTGTACGCATGAAGCTGCAGGGTGCCATCTTGATCATGCCTCGTGATTGCTCAGCCTTCAGTGCCTCCTCTCTCCCTCCCTCCGCAGTTGGCCTCTGAGATTTGTGTTCAAATAACCTCCGAAAAGTCATTCCCATACTAGGGCGCATCTCAATATCCTCTATCGCGATGTCTGTTGACCAAGTCTTTCAGTCATGGTACAAGGGCGATGATGCGAGTAAGCAATCACTAGCCAATGAAACACTTCATACAAGCTTACTCTGTCAGATAAAGCGGATATAGCGCAAGAGGCCTTCAAGTCCGTGAAGCAACACTTCGAGCAGAGTAATTCGTTGAGTAGCGACGAGAAGGCTCTTTTGGGGAAGAAGTCGTCATTACAAGATGTTGAGAAGGCAGTCAACGATGCATTCGCAAAGTATGAAGCTAAGAGCGAAGCTTCAAAAACACGGAAATGGCTACAGAAGGCTTCTGAATCAATATGCCATTATGGCCAAGTACTCGATGTCTTTGTTCAACATCATCCAGAGTATGTGTCTTTGGCTTGGGGATTGATGAAGGTGATGTTCATAGTGAGTTGACTGGCCCCATCTCGGAACCTAAAATCTCACCTTGGTGTGCTAGAGCGTAGTAAATCACGGCGAGACGCTCAAATTGTTATCAAAATCACTCTTTGAGGTCGCACAGCGTCTTCCACGCATCCAACACCTATCCGCCCTATATCCAACCAAGAACATGAAGCTAGCCATCGAAAGCCTCTACTCTTGTGTCATGGAATTTCTACTGATAGCTCACTCATGGTGTAATGAGTCGAAGTTCAAACACATTTACCACAGCTTCACAAGACCACATGAGTTGCGCTACGGCGATCTTTTACAGAGGATAGAAACTTGCACGGACAACATCAACGAACTTGCAACTGTGGGATCGCAGACTGAGCTTCGAGTTATGCACAACACGCAGTCATCAAAACTCAACGAGATCATCTTAAGTTTGCAGACTAGTGAGAAGACTAGGCAGGCCCAGATCGACGGTCTCAATTGTGCCATTTCGAGATTAGAGATTTCGAGTCGAGACCATGATAGGAAGCTCGACTTGATCATGCAGTGGCTAGAGGCTTCTGGGTTAACAATCAACGACTTGTTGACAACGATAGAGAGTATGGGACGTCTCAAAATGTTACAGTGTTCTATTGCTAACATGCGCCAAGATTTTCACTCCATACAGACGAGTGCGCAACTTGACACAAACCAAAAGCTCTTTTCTCTGCAGTTATCTCAAGCATTGGCAACTTTTTCTCAGAGCCTTGAGGACCCCAAGTCCTTATATAAACACCACCTATTCCTTCGTAATAGGAGGGCCTCGGGCAGAGGAGCAGCAGTATCTACTAACGAGTTCTGGTTGTCCCCAAAACTCGCAAGATGGTCCTCTTGCGCACATTCTTCTCTCGCAATCATCAGAGGCAGTTTCACAACTCGCTGGGCGATTCAGGATTTCGCCATAGATATCATTCAGGCGGTTACCATGATGAGAATACCAGCTGTTTGGGTTTTGGGTAGCGCAAACAAGATGACCTCGAATGCGATGCTGAGTCCAGTCGATTTGGTGAGATATCTAACTTACCAAGCACTACGCATTGAGGGGATCATTACGACAGAGAAGCAACTGTCATTGCGACACTCACAGCTCGAGGAAGCTAAAACTAGCCAAGACTGGCTGGAACTCTTTAAGTTAATTACGCAAGACTTGGGAGGGCAGGTCTATATCATCATTGATCTTGCGACTGTGAGCTCAGGTCTGAAAGGATCTGGTCAAGCCAACTTGATCTACCAACTGAACGAAATGCTGGAAGGCTTGAATGACGAGAGACCGCACAAAAGAAACCGAACCAAGGTCAAGATCATATTGCTTGTCTATGAGTATAACTGGATGAGCTTGATCCCGAGGGAAATTTATGATCGTCTTGTCCCAGTTAAGATATCGGGAACTAAAGGATTACAAGGAAGAAGAATGCGGACAGCTGTTAATACGAGAATTCTACCGAGACAGAGAGATGTACGTTAAGTAGATACACGCCTTGCCTGTAATCATCTGCATAGTCCCAATCTCGAACCGCATATAGATACCCTTGTAAGTACATAGTGGCAGGGCTGTGGCGGAATAACAATATTGTATCTTATGTGGCATAGCTCTACTCAACTGCAGACCTTTGATCATCTAGTCACATGATGAGCTGCATGAATGCGACAATTTCGGGGTAAGATTAATTGACGGTGATGCAGCAATAAACAAAGATTTTGGCCCGTCTTTGAAAATAATCTCGAATATGTCGTCGCTTATCTCATTATGTGAATACTGCTCGCTGATCCCTCTAGACCCAAAGGTGCTAGACGCGGAGACAAAGCTCATAGCTGCTGGAGTTGGATGGTCCCTCGGAGATGGTATTCGAATCAAGTACAGTTCATGTCCCCTCTGTCGCCTTATACTGCGTCGCTTCGACCAAGATTTCATAGCTTCTCCATCCACCGATAAGTTTGAGCTTTTTTGGTCATTGGGACCTGCCAGACGCCGGGCTTTCTGGACTCATAAAGCTCAAGATGATACCTGGATTGGCTTCGGCTCAGGTATGGAAACGGCTGATCACCCTAATCCAAACTCGAGTTTCTTTCTTGAACCGTGGACGGGTCCTTTGGTGGATTCTTCTAGGATCTTGAGCTGGATTTCATCTTGCGAACAACTCCATCGCTCGAAATGTGCGATGCCGACACACCTACCATTTGCCGAGGCATTCCCTGGTCTCCACGTCCTCCGCTTGATCGATGTTGAGCATCAATGTATCGTAGAAAGGGAAGCTCTCGAGAAATATATCGCATTGAGCTATGTCTGGGGATTCGTCTCCAGCTTTCGGCTCACCAAAGCGAATCGAACGGCAATGCTTATACCAGGCTCTCTGGAAAAGGTCTCCAAGATGCTACCAAACACTATAAAAGACGCCATTGCGTTGGCAGGGCGTCTCGGCTGTCGATATCTATGGGTTGACGCGCTTTGTCTGCTGCAGAACGACACGGACGACTTGACGTCGGGCGTCAATGTTATGGACCTTGTGTACGAGAGAGCTTGGTTGACAGTGGCCGCAGCCTGTGGTCATGACGCTAACGCACGGCTCCCCGGTGTTCAGGAAGGTACTAGGGAAAGCTCTTTCAATACATTCGAGGTTGTCCCCGGTGTCCAGTTGGGAATTGTGACAGGACTAGATGGACTGCTCAGACAATCAGTCTATCACTCCAGAGCATGGACGTGAGTCTCCTATCCTGTTATGATTTACCCGAATATTCTGATTCGATTCAGGTTCCAAGAGCAAGTCCTATCTCGCCGAGTTCTCTATTTCATTGACAACAAGGTCTTCTATCGTTGCCGTGCAGCAGAACATGCCGAGCACTTTGTAGACAATCTATCACAAACGGCGGTTGAATCGACGTCGAGATCTCTACTTCCGAGTGCAGTTCTCATCAACAAGCCGGTGTCCGACTTATCGATGATGCTTTTTTACTATACCAAAAGGTTCTTAACAAACCAGAACGATACATCACGGGCTATGGCTGGCATTATCAGGCGAATTGCAGAGCTAATGAAGTGCAACTTCCTTCAGGGGCTTCCATCAGCCATGATTGACCTTTTTATCATATTCTATGCATGCGATACCATTCTTCACCGGCGCGCCACATTTCCAAGCTATTCGTGGACAGGCTGGCGCGGTTCTATCGATATGGACTTAGAAACGCCTGGTAACAGTGAAGTCAATGACTGGCTCAGGGACAGAACGTGGATTATCTGGTATAAGAGGAACCCTTCTGGTATTACCCATCTTGTCTGGGATCCGGATGCAAACCCGTCATTCCCACTGTCAGATATGGAGTATGTGGGCTATCGTCAAAGACGCCCTTTCTCCAATGGTCGATACGTTCCCAGACAACTAGACACAAGGCGAACCATGCCGACCGAACAGGTATTCTTCTCTCGGGAAGTGCCGTCTTACCCAATGCTGCAGTTCTGGACCCTTTCGCTGGTCTACAGAATTTTTGATATTGATGTTTTTAGGGCCACCGGATATCTTCAAGATTCCAACAATAGAAAATGCGGTTTTGTTTTTCTGGATGGCTTTGAAGAAACGGACTTCTTCGAACCATGCGGTTTCTTTGAGATAATCCTCCTATCCGAAACTTACAGAAATAAATTTGCAAATTACACATGGGTACAATGGGACGACCCGTATCCTCTAGCGGCAGGTCAATGGAAATATTATAACATCATGATTCTAGAGTGGAACGGTGGAATAGCTGAAAGGCGAGGTTTTGGTCTGCTTCATCAGGGTGCTGTTAAGTTTAGTCTAGCTCCTGGTCCATATTGGAAGGAAATATTCCTAGCATAGAGCCTCGAATCGCATACTGGATTAGATTTGAGTAACGACTGCATTGATATGCAAGAAAGGGCCGGCATCGAGGGTGCGAGATCTTCTATGGCAAAGTCTGTTGGATTGAAAAACATGAACGGACATGAAGGCAAGGAACAACTGGCATTGATAGGATACAGCTTCGCTTTCGATAAGTTGTCGTTGTTATTCTTGGGCAAAAGACTAATTTGGCCATTGCCCTTCGCACATGGTTGGAACCTGGGCGTGATTCTAGCTTGGAGATGGTACGTTTTATGGTCGTCTTGTTCCCATAAAGATTTCGGAAATTGGAGGATTGCGGGGCAGAGAAACACGGATAGCTGTGCATATACAGATATTGTCCAGACAAGGAGCAAAAGCATGACTTTGATAGTATTCCAAGCTTTAGAATAAATCACTTACAGATGGTATGGATGAAATACGTAAAATAATATCATCTTACGTGAGATGCAATACCATGACTCTAATACGAGTATATGAGTCAACCAATATCCCCTTGGCTATTGCACAATACGAGGAGCAGTTATTTATTACTTATGCTTACATTGCTGAGCTGGCTCTCCTCTACAATTCTCACACGGCACAGTTGCATCTTGGTTCGGCGTGGTGACTCAACGCAAGCTTGGTAGGCATCATATAAAACACAATGCTTTTATCTCGGACATCAACATCAATATCGACAAAGATCTCCACAGAGGCGACATGGCGCATAATTCAGATAGACTACCTTGGGATGCTCTCGCCTCAATGCTTGAGCTGCGACGCTCCAACCCTTGCCAGCACGACGCGTACAACCTTCACGCTCTAATACGGCCAAGCAGTAGAGCAAAGCTTACCAACTTTGTTGATATCTTTATGCAGAGTGTCGCTGAAGATGCAGTTCAACGGCGGAAGCAATATCCAGAGGAGTATGAAGTCCCTGATGGGGTCGAAGTCATCATTTCAGATGAAGCGGCAACCAAGATTGAATCGACAGTCAGGCGTTGGCATCCAGAATCCTATTGGCCTGATGGCGACGGCGAAGTTGACCCCGAGACTTTCAAACAGCCAGCGAGTAAAGAGTTGTGTCCTCACACAAATGAATCTGATAGTTGCGGGTGTGTCTTACCGTATAAAGAACGCAAGATGTCGGCATTCCAACGCCCACAAGTTCAGAACGACTGTTTCAAGTTCGATATAGAGAACCTGGAGTCATTCCGAAATCTCAGAGTCGTCCAGAGTTTGATTCTTCATGGAGAAATGGACCCTGTTCTTCGCTCATGCGCATACGAAGAGTGTCAGCTGGCGAGTTGGTGGGAGCATAGAGAATGCTACTGCAAGCAGCAAACCTTTGGATGGAGAAGCATCTGCGAACACGCGATCAGGATGTACATTATACTCAATGTCCTGCACCAATTCCCCGAAATATGGGACATCGACGGATCTCGCGTCGGGGATTATCGCAACTTGGCAGTATACCAGCAGGCGGTACGATCGAGCACGGTTACTGGGGACGGAAACGGGTCCAGGGACGAGATTGCCAAGTTCTCGCATCGGGACTTTCTTGGTATCGAGGAGGATCAATTTTCGTGGATTCCGGAGCCCCATGATGTCCCTCGTTGGAAACATATTATGAAATTTGACGCAAATGGTTTTGAAATGTACCAGAAGGGCTTAGACGCCTTTAGTGAACCTTGGTCGAGTGATAGCGATGATTCGGACGATGAGTCGGACGACGCTTCCAGCATCAAGTCAGGAAACAAGCCCAGTGCAGACAACGAAGATGATTCCAGCGATGAGACTGAAGAGAAAGACCCAGAAGAGGTTGAGAACATGTTTTATGAGCTGGAGTTCAACCCATTAGGTCTCATGTCATACGACGAGTTCCTCAACTTCGAAAAGCTCATGGACTATCAGCCTAGCGAAGCAGATATATCCCACGTCAGATGGATGCTATGTCAGAAAGGCCTACCAGTCGAGATATCAGATTGTGTTCTCGAATTTGCCGACTACGCCCCAAAAGGTAGCCTCCCTGTCCCCGGGCAGCCACTGCATCCTCAATGCAGACAGGAACTAGATCGCTATCTCGAGCACTGCTGGCAACTGATAGTCAGATGCTACATGTTAGGTCATGAACTCGATGGAAAAGATGGGATGGATATTGAGAGGTTTGTACGGCGTGAAGTAAAAGGTTGCTTGTTGGAGCTATTCAACTGTAGATGTGATGATGTATACGGGGAGTTTTGTGCCTTTTATGCGGAACCTACTGAGAACTCTGTGGCTGGGAGGTAGACAATTGGGTGGCTTCTTCCAATTATGTATACGTTAATCTCATAGCATCTTGTCTATTGTTTTCTGCGTGAGAAGTCAAGTGAGCAGGAAAGTGTCTAGACTACCAAGGTATTCACACCCATACCAACTTTTAATATATTTCGACTACTTTCTTTATGTAAACTCTCTGCGGTAAAGTTCGGGTTTTAAAAGAGGCTTCAGTCATTGTCTCAGGATCACGGCAGTCTCATTCGTAAGAAGGTTTTGGGGTAATACTGGGGTAGAGTGTGCATTAACGTTAGTGCGGCGACGAAACGCGATAGGCTTCAGTTCTTTCTGTCACTCTCCTTCAATAACGCGCGATAACGACAATACTGAACAGCTTATTCTCGCATCATACTCCGTCATCATGGATTCTCTTCCAGATGAAATATTGCACAAAATATTTGCCGAGCTGGAGGACCAAATGCCTCTAGATGAATGGGCGTTGTATGGAGCTCGACAGGATCATCAGGGCTCAGCCGCACATCTCTCTGACCGACTGTGTCAAGTACTCAGAGCAGGTGCAGATACTTGGCAAAGATACAACTAAGGCACTCGTTCGATCAGCATTGGAAAAGCTGGACATCCCGCCTGCTCTCAAACGTATGATGATGAGAAAGATTGCATATTCTGGCTTTGCCGCTCTTATCCTGGCATATATGCCTCATGTGCAGATCGTCGACTGCACTATGGGTGACAGGACATTCATACTCCCTTGGCTGCTGAGTGCAAGCCCGGAAGCAGGGAGGCCCCTACGCTGGCTTGAAAGAGATTTTCGGGCTGACTTTTCTGTCGTCAAGAAACCAAAAGAGTATGACTTTTCCGATGAAGAAGATTACGTGATAGACTACGAGAAAGAATTCAGCTGGGAAGAATACCACCAGAAGGGCAGTTCCAAGGGTACATTTACAAACTATCGCTTTGCGGAACCTCGCCGAAATTCGCCTTAGAGCGGTGGAAAATCCAGGGGCCATCGAGCGTGCTTGGACTATCGAGCCTCTGCTTCTTAACTCTAGGCTCAAAATACTACGAACGCTTGGCACTGCCTGGTATGGTGATGCATTCACTAACTTTGTGTGGCCTGAGCACAAGAACTACAACCTGGAGTATTTCGACCTCATGGAATCATATATCGATGCCGAGGGACTAAAGACAATCCTCACTCGCTGTCCGAAACTGAAGGGGATCTCGATTAGGTTACCCGACGAGGAAAGGGACACGCCAATTATGTATGATGACCTGGGCGGGGACGTGGACCAGGAAGACTGTGCCCTCAACTTCAATGACTTCGGGGATGTCCTTCGGAAGCATGGCCAAAATCTCGAAGGGTTCGACTTCAACACCTTCTTTTTTGAAAGCTACAGCACATATAATCGAGAGCGTGGCCCAGGTGAGGGAACGATTGGTTCCATCCGAGAACTCAGATCCCTCAGACACCTCGGAGCCGGTAAGGAGGCTTTAATCGGAGATACTGAGCCGCTCTCACGGCTGAGTGAGGTTCTACCGGAATCGATTGAGATTCTTCATCTGTATTGCAGTAAAATCTGGGAGACACAGGACTGGGTTCAATCTGAACGCGAGCTGCAAAACCAGGATGTTTACAGATTGCTTCTCGACTGCATGCCTAATCTCCACGAGATTCGGGTAGAAAGATGCAAGACTGGTTTCAATGGCACTTATAATTATGGATCATATTCAGATTTAGATGATAATTATGGATCATATCCAGATTTAAATGCTGTGACGGCGGCGTCTACTGCTGCTGCTGAAGATGCAGAAGATGATGCTTCATGTTTTAGTGGCACTGATTCGGATGGTCTTTATATAGGACAGTTTGGACCGGAAGAGTTTATGTACTCGAAGGAAGCGGAGTGGCCACCTGAGCTGCATGTCGCCGGCTGGACTGTGAACATCGTCGAGGAAGGCCTATATAATATACGTGGAAGGTCAGCTTGCCCCTTTCGGGTCGTCACTCTGACAAGAAAGTCGTGAATGGACTCTGCTTACGTCCAACTGATGCACATAGAGGACGGGACGCTCGGCTAAGATGTTGTATGCAACCTTGTGGCCCAGGTACTGTCACCTGTAGCCTATCATAAAATACAAGTCATCGAACTCGCTAATCTGATTCCCTGATCTTTGTTCCCTCCTCAAAATACATTGATACGATGTGCCGCAGCGCGAGAAGAGGGATCTTGGTTGACCTATGGCGTGATGAGTGCAGAAGAACACAGTTCACTCGGGGCGTTGTTACAACAAAACAAGATTGAATGCATCTTATCTTACAGAGCCTTCGAGTAATAATCCAGGAAGCCATCATGGGTGCACTTCGGTGGTAATATTCCCGGTAGATATGATCACTAATACGGAGAGCATTGCGAGGTCAATACTTGCATCAAAGCGGCATGTTATCAACGCATTAAAACTAAGTGGAATAAGACCTTACTTATACCAGTAACATGCATGAAGCCAAAGCTTTAGCAGACAAATAACACCGCATCTTTCTGGAGCTAGTCTCAAACCACAATGACATACATCTTGTCCGAACAGTCACATTTGCCTGCCGGAACAGAAAATGCGAACCACGCCAATCACCAAAGTACAAGACCAACAGAAAGGCAAGCAAAAGTTTCGCTGCAGTCATCTTTTATCAGCTATGGCAGCCTAGCCCAGCCTGCATCACCACACCCCCTCATCCCAAAATCTCACGCGCCATTGGTCAACCATCGACCAACTGACCTAGATACTGTTACATCGAAGCCCGCGACCTAACCCAGTTTCCGCTGCAGATGAAAAACAAGCAAGAGTCGTAGGGCTGTTGTTGGTACAGTGAAACAAAAGTGTATCAGCAGATGCTCATGATGGTTGCCTCTTGTGGGACGGGACGGATGTCTCAAAAAGGGTGTCATGGCCCCCGATTCTGTCTCTTTTCTTTTTTCTGCACTTTTCGTCTGTGAATAACTTCACTTTAGTATTTTGTTTGATCATGGGCGTTCCCCACATTAATGCCCGCCAAGAGGTGCAGGTTATAACGCAGACTGTTTCCCTCCCCACGACCACTTACACCACCCAAGTCACGCTAGGCGTAGCTTCGGCTCCAGCCACGGACCGTCCCGTCGTGACGTCTCAACACAGCGGCGATGGCTTGAGCAGTGCACAAATCGGAGCGATAATCGGATCCGTCGTTGGAGTGTTCGTGCTCGCTTTTATTGTGGTATGTTGCTGTCGAAGACCGAAGCAGCCCAAGAAGCGGAGGAGTTATCGGAGCAGTTATGCGGATTCGTCAGATGGTTGGTCTGAGAGGATGCCGAATGAGAACTGGGTAAGGCCTGTGCCTATTCCTGTTGCTAGACCTGTTCCTGTTCAGTATCCGTCGCCGGTTGTGCAGAGGGAGCAGATCCCGGGAGGGCCAAAGTTTCCGACTTATAGGGCGATTCCTATTCCTAACCCGAGAAGGGGAGAGAATCCATCGAGGACATATAATTCACCAAGGACATATTGGCGATAGGCTGCCATGTCTGTCAGCGGAAGTTTATGGGATGAATGAGTCACGAGAAATGTGAAATGAAGGATACGACGAATGAAATGAGGAATGGGGAAGTGAGCTGTGGCGTGTTGCAGTCAGGCATCATATGGGAGGCATTCACCATCAGCAAGCAAGCGAGCGAGCATTGTCATTTACCACGACACTGGCATAAACACAAGGAGCATCGCAGTCAAACCCATTCATATAATCTATACACTAATTCATGATCATCATAACCTCATCATTCCTCTCCACCACTTTCTTGCCACGCTTAGACGACAACCTTGGTCTTATGGTTGCACTTATGCGCATTGCTAGCAAGAGTCTTCTTCTTCTGCCACTGCTCAAAGCGCGCCGCAACAGCTCGCTTGCTCTTGGGGTTAGCAGAGGTCTTGTCTCGTGCAGGAACGCCTTTGAGGCTAAGAGCGAACTGGGCAGCAGCACGGCCAGCAGCCTTGGTGTTGAGGGTCAAAGCACCCCAGTGGATGTTGTCGATGGTGTCGCATTCCAAGTGGTAGCAAGGATCAGTCTCAGCATCAGCGCCGGTGAAGATTCCGGACGAGGGAATGCCGAGTTCGACGAAGGCGGCGTAGTCGGAGTTTTCACCAAACTCCCTGTGAAACTGTGAGTAACTTTTTAAGAATAGTGTGCGTCTGGACTTACTCCCACTCAATGGTCTTGCCCTTCTTGCGGAGCCAAGCAGCCAGGATATCTCCTCCAACTCGGTCAGCGGGCTTGCTAGCCTGGACCCAGTACTTGGGATTAGGAGAACCGATCATGTCGTAGTTGAAGTAGAATCGGATGCTGTCAGCTTCCTCCTCGGTGAGTTGCTCGCCGTAGTAGTATGATCCCGCAAGGCCACTCCTGTATCACAAATCAGTCAACAGCAGAGAGACGTGGACTGTTTCACTCACTCTTCAGCACCCCACCAAGCAAAGCGGACCTTGTTCTTGTAGCCAGTGTACTTGGTGAAAGACTTTGCAATCTCAAGAATACCCGCAGCTCCACTACCATCATCATTGATACCGGGACCAGCTTGGACACTGTCAAGATGAGCACCCATCATGACAACGTTGTTGGGGTCACCCTGCTTAGTCTCCGCGATGATGTTCCAGGTCTCACGGGTCTCATAGAAAGAGTCCACCAGCAAAGTGACCTCGAGCGTCTCACCATCCTCAATACGTGCTCTCCAATCAGTTCCAACTTCAAGAGGAATCACACCAACAGGGACGATGAGCTCAAGGTTCTCAGCACTAAGAGTCGCACTAGTAATGCCCTCGCCAGGTTGGTTGTTGACAAGGAGAACACCAAGAGCGCCGGCCTGCTTTGCGAGCTTGAGCTTGTCCGAGATAGCACACGAGCCGCGCTTAACAAGAGCGAGTTTATCCTTAGCATCAACATCCTCCCATTGGTCCGCGAAGCAACCAGATCCGCGCTCATCATCAATTGGAACGAGAACAAGAGGGGCAGTGACACCATCGGGAGGTGTGCCGACGTTGTAGATGAGGGTGATGACATAGACGTCCTCACCATCGGGGCCTCGGACCCAGATATCTTTGGTCTGCTCGAAGGTGTAGTTGAAGGGCTGGATGTAAGTGTTGAGATGCTTTCCGTATTGGCCCTTGAGCTGCTTGGAGATGTAGTCGACAGAGGCCTTGTAGCCGGGGAAGCCAAAGGCACGGTTACCACCGTTCTTCTTGGCGATGGTGTTGAGGTCTTCAAGAGTCTTGCGAAGACTGTGGATGTTAGTGATGTTTAGCCAATTGACCAAGGTTTGACATACTTGGACTTTTTAATGTCACCCTCAACTTGACTGGGAGTCAGTTTTTTGGTAGCCGACACCTCGGAAAAGAGGAGAGCTCCGTAGAGCAAAGTATTAAGAAACTTCATGCTGGTAATTATCAATCGAGTAACAATGTCTCTTGAAGCCGATAATGTAACTCGAAGACGATAATGTAACCTGAAGACGGCAATGTAAGTTGACAGGAAGAAATCCCTGGATCAATGATCGTAGCAAAAGAACAATCCCTAAACAATGCGATGGATCCTTCCCTTTTATACCATTACAGCTGTCAACCGTAGGTAGGAGCTACAGCTGCACAAAACCCGTCGCTACTACCAATTGAATGGCTCAGTGAGGGCAACTACCACCCAGGCCCCCAATGCAACCGAGTCTACCTACCTTCGCAAAGCTCACATCGAACCCATCGGTAGACGATGCGAAAATGGCAGGTCGCAACCATTCAAAGTCTTGGCATCGACTGGTGCTCACGACCCTTGTCGCGGCGCCAACGATAAATAACCATGGCAGAGATAAGATCTACAAGGAGGTGCGGGGTGGAAGCCAGGTCCGGGAGGGTGATGATAGGTTCGAGCAAGTGGCGGAGGAACTATTGTAAAAGGTTTGAGGACTTTTGAAGAGGGTGAATAGGTATGCTTACTTTTAGCTAGACTGGTTGTCGAGAACTGGGATGAATGCCCGAGGATGGTGTCTTATCAATGAACGGGTCAATTGGGTCAGCAAGTTTATTCAGCATCATGACATGAGAACATGAACGATCTGATTGTAACTGAAGTCTCAGTTATGGTGTCATGGGCAGAAAGCTGATGTGCTTTTATTGTTACCAGCCGAGGTAGAACAAAGCAGCAATATATCGCATACAAAGTGCTGTGTATCACGAAATCTCAATCACTTACTGTAAATAATCAGTCGTCTTCTTTCTAGGCATTATTGAGTTGGGATAAACGCAATAATAGGTAGACTTCAACTGCATTTAAGCTTAATGCGTAGCTTAACTTGATCCAAAACTTCATGATGCCGATGCTCCCGGGTAGGCCAACGGCTTTCGGTTCTCCCAAAACCGAGCATGATCTCCTGACATCTTCACCGCCTACCGCATTCCGCCCTCTCAACCTTCTAGCCCACGTTCTAGAACGGTTTTAAGAGGATACACTCGGCATTGGCGGGGCACAACCAAAGTTTCTGTCATGCCCGGCCCCGCCACCTTTAGCCTTGACCATTAGCTAACAATGTTTGTGTCCCGTGGCGTGCTTAAGTCGTCGGTTCTCGTATGAGAAACTCTTTTTTCCCTTTCCTCCCTCTTTATTCTTCTCTAATCTAAAATACAATAATTCGTTTCAAAATGGCTTCTCAGGTCCCTCACGTTCCGCCTCGTGCTGCTACTGTCCTCTCGGCGACAGAGCTCATTGGAAATACTCCCCTCGTCAGACTTAACAAGATCCCCCAGTCGCTGGGCATTGAGTGCGATGTCTACGTCAAGCCAGAGCTGTTCAGCGCTGGAGGCAGCGTTAAGGATAGAATTGCTCTGCGCATGATTGAAGAGGCAGAGAAGAGCGGAAGAATTAAGCCTGGCGACACTCTTATCGAGCCTACCAGTGGAAACACGTAAGATCACCATATTTTCGAAGCTCTCGGATCTCAGCTGACTGTAACAGTGGTATCGGTCTGGCTCTCGTCGGAGCTATCAAGGGCTACAAGACCATCATCACCCTCCCCGAGAAGATGTCCGCCGAAAAGGTCTCCGTCCTCCGTGCCCTCGGCGCAACCATCATCCGTACTCCTACACAAGCTGCTTGGGATGCCCCCGAGTCTCACATTGGTGTTGCCCGCCGTCTCGAGAAGGAGCTCCCCAACGCCCATATTCTCGACCAGTACAGTAACGAGAACAACCCTCTCGCCCACGAGTACGGCACCGCTGAGGAGATCTGGGAGCAGACTGCCGGCAAGATCAACGCTATTGTTGCTGGTGCCGGTACTGGTGGTACCATCACTGGTCTCGCTCGTGGTCTGAAGAAGCATAACAAGGACATCAAGGTCATTGCTGCGGATCCTCACGGCAGTATCCTTGCTCTGCCTGAGCTTCTGAACGAGGAGCATGCCAATGAGTCTTATAAGGTGGAGGGTATCGGATATGATTTCATTCCCGATGTGCTTGATCAGCAGATCGTTGATAAGTGGTACAAGACCGATGACCGACAGTCTTTCCACCTTGCACGACGACTTATCGCCGAGGAGGGTATTCTCGTCGGTGGCAGCTCTGGTTCTGCCATGGCTGCTATGCTCCTCGCCGTCAAGGAGTACAACTTTAAGAAGGGAGATGTCGTAGTTGTTGTCCTGCCCGACAGCATCCGAAGCTACCTCTCCAAGTTCGCTGATGACGACTGGCTCGCCGCCAACGACCTCCTCCCCGTCAACGGTGTTGAATCCACTGTCAACGGCAACAGCCAGAAGAAGACCTCCGACCCTTACGAGGGTGCCACCATTGCCTCTCTGCGCCTCAAGCCCGTCACATCCGTCGGTGCCAACTCCTCCTGCTCCGAGGCCATCGAGACCATGCGCGACAAGGGCTTCGATCAACTCCCCGTCCTCTCCGCCAATGGCCACAAGCTCGTCGGTCTCGTAACACTCGGTAACCTACTAAGCTACATCTCCCGCGGCCGCGCCACCGCCCAGAGCCCCGTATCAGACGTCATGTTTGACTTTGCGCGCCTCGACGAGATCGTCACTGATCCTCGCGAATTCGCTTCCCCCATCAACCCCGGCAAGCGTAGACAATTCGTCGAGATCACAAAAGATACACCCCTTACTACACTTAGCAAGTTCTTTGAGTGGAACAGTGCAGCAGTCGTCACCGAGAAGACTGACGACTCCAAGTCTCTATCCAAGCCTATTGCTATTGTTACAAAGGTTGATCTCCTTACATGGATGATCAACAAGAAGTTGTAGATGGGAGAAACCTCGCGAGAGGAGGGGGGAACGAGTACTCATGTTTTCAACGACATTCACGTCTGGCGTTCCAGGAATACCTTAGAGAAAAAGATGGGATTTTTGATAGACTGAATTTTGGGCGGTAGACTCAACATCTACATGGCATTTGCGATGGAATCAGCTGCGTAAATTAAAAAAATGTCATTAATATAATTGTGTTATCCCATCTCCTCCTTTGTGATGTATTGATCGCCGATGTTATACCCGCTGAGCGATCCACCACCACCACTTGTCTGCTCCAGGACCATCGCCAGTGACGTTTCCAGGGAGGACATCCACGTCGATGTCAAACTCCTGGAGCTGGCTGAAGGTGAACTTGGAGGAACCGTACTCGCCCAGCCAAGAATCCTGCTCCTCAGAGCCAATGTCGTCAGATCCGACGCCCGAGTCTAGCAGTCCCTTGCTTCGCGAAGCACGAATCCTCGTCAGCTCGGCTTCCAGGTTGGTCTTGACAAGTGTCGAAGGCAAAGCGGTGAAAAGGTCCATCTTGTTCGCGGCGATGAGAATAGGGATCGAAGCCTTGACCTTGGCGGTGGTAGCGCGCTTCTGCAGGAAGAGCAGCACGTCGTAGAGGTACGCAGCGGTGGGCGCAAGAACCTCGGGCTCTCCGATAGCAGCGGCATCCACCAAAAAGACAACGGCCTTTAGTTTTTCAGTGCGGTCCAGCTTGCCCATCGGCACGTTTCGCAGCTTTCCATGTCCAGGAGTATCGACGAGCAAGAACTTGGTGTATGTACCATCGTGGGTATCGTGGTTACGGTACGAGTGCTTGTTCTCCGAGTCGGTAGAGGCGTTGAGCTCGACATCGTGCGACACCTGGGAAGTGTGCGTCTCGGTACCAGAAGCGCCGCGCTCAAAGAGTGTGAGAAGTGACGTCTTGCCAGCGTTGGCGGGACCGAGAAGGAGGACGCTGGGGGCGACGGTGTATGTCCTTGATGAGGAGAGGATGAGGTGAAGAATTATAGGAGCACCGATGATGATAAGTGCACCAATGATGATTGTGGCGAGCGAGGGTGTCATGATGGCCTCGACGGTAGCGATGAAGTTGGCCATGGTGGGCGAAGTGCGGCACCAATTGGCGCCTGAGTCGTCGCGGTAGCTGCCGATAGTAGAGAAGAGGGAGGACAGTTCAGAGTTCACTACAGCCTCGTTGACGTCGAATGCGATCGTTGAATGACGCTATTCAGACAGTTGGCTGTTAGTTAGACAAAGCTGTGTGAAGCGAAGCGATATCTGGCCAGCCCACTGGAAGCAAGCTCCTAGACCGGCGTCCCCACATCGGTCATCAGCCTCAGCCACAGCCACGAACGACAGAAAATACGTTGTGTCCAATGAGGGACGATGTTGAAATCCCACTGTAACAGAAAGGGGATAAGGGGGAAATGGGACGCAATCAGCCACAAAAAGACCCTGTTAATTAAAGGCAATGGCAGTGCCGGTTCCCTAGTGCAGACTCGAGAAGAGTCCCAAACTTGGGTTGTCGAAGACGAGTGAGGTCAATTAATCAAGTAACTTGGAATATATTGTGATGTGTGTTTGTATTTTGGAATTGCATTTAGTGTAGATTACAAACTGCACTCTTGTGTTCGCTGCCAAGGTAGTTGAATAGTATCAATACTTTAAAAATAAGGATAAAAAGAACCAGCTTCATCTCTCAGCCCTGAGCTTTTCTTGCGGGCGGCTTTCCCCATAAGGGGAGGGAGGGTCTGAGCTCAGCCTCTCGGCATCACGGCTTCAGTAATACGTAGGCCTACTCCACGCGCTGCCTTCCAAAATTCAGCCAAGACTCAGCCAAGCCCATTCACTTTTCTCCCCTTCCTCCATCCTTCACTGCTTCTCTTTTCTTATCGCGCGTGTGTACAAGCCCTGATAGATAATGTTTATGTACGAATAGTCGACTTTCTCAATCATCTTTCGTCCTTACCCAGTATCGCGTTCAACCGCCCCGCGCTACAGGCAAGCCTGCCATGGGGAGCATCAGCACCAGTTCCACCTCCGGCCAGACCGCGCCCATCCAGATGACGGGCAAATCGAATGCCGCTACGCCAAAGCTGAATAACGAAGTCGAGATTGGCAGTCTACCGGGAGATACGCAGGCCCAGGAGGAGGATATCATGCAGATCGCTAGGATAGGAGACGTACCGGCCATGGAGAAGCTTTTCGAGTCGGGCGAGTACGATGCGACCTACCATGATGATGAGGGTATCACGCCCTTACATGTGAGTTCCAAGCGATGCGACGATGATGGGGGACTTTGGCTGACGTTGCGTACAGTGGGCTGCGATTAACAATCAATATGCGATGTGCAAATTCTTGATCGAACACGGCGCCGAAATTAACAGAAAGGGCGGAGAATCCGTAGCAACAGCTCTTCAATGGGCCGCTCAGCGATGCCATTACTACACCGTCAATCTGCTCCTCCAGCACGGCGCGGACCCTCTCATCACCGACGCTCAAGGTTACAACACGCTCCACATCTCGACGTTCAACGGCAACGTCCTTCTCATTGTCCTCCTGCTTCACCAGGGAATCCCCGTCGACGTTATCGACACGTTCGGCCACACTGCGCTCATGTGGGCTGCGTACAAGGGTTTCCCCCAATGCGTTGATCTGTTTCTTCGCTGGGGCGCAAGCGTGCATGCGACAGACGAGCAGGGCTTTACCGCGCTGCACTGGGCGCTCGTCAAGGGAAGCCCGGGATGCATTCTCAAACTTATCGAGTACGGCGCCGATCGATTCGCAAAGACACAGACGGGTAAGACTCCTGCTGTGACGGCCAACGAGCTTAATACGGAGGGCGCCTGGCACAGAGCGCTTCGAGAATGCGGTTTCAACGAGGACGGTCATCCTGCGGTTCCGCCCTGGCCTGGTGCTAGCTATTTCTTGAAGGATAAGAGAGCCTTTGTTACGAGGTTCTTGTTCATCTGGCCGTTTGTTCTGGTTTGGGGCATGCTTATGGCTGTTTCGAGTGCGCCTGTCTACATTGGCGTTCCTCTTGGATTCGCTGTCGTGTATGGTGTGCAGTGGGTTGCTCAGCAAGTACTGGAATATGCGCCTCCCGATATGCGACACTTTCACAAGACTCCTTGGCTCACCGGTATCTTTGCGGCCACGCTTTTCTTAACAGGTGTGAATTGGTTGACGACAGTCCTGTTCGCCACAACACTTGGCGCGAGTGAGGGTCACGGCCATACCTTTCTCAACCTCTTCTTCGGCATCTTCCTGGGCTTCACCGCGTACTTCTACGTTGCCAGCATGAGATACGACCCGGGTTTTGTACCAAAGATGAACGGAATCGCGGAGCAGAAAGCTGTCATTGACGGACTTTTGTCACAGTGGAAATACGACGAGACCAACTTCTGTGTTACTTGCATGATTCAAACGCCGCTTCGAAGCAAGCACTGCCGTCGTTGTCAACGATGTGTCGCCAAGCATGATCACCACTGTCCTTGGGTTTACAACTGTGTCGGCATTAACAACCACCGACACTTCTTCTTCTACCTCATCTCGCTGACCTTTGGTATCATCTCATACGACTTTTTGTTGTATTACTGTAAGTTCAAGATTCCTTCCTCTCACCTTATGCCCATGCTGACAATGTTGTAGACTTCGAAACCATCAGCAGCAACGCCTCGGATACCTGCAACGTCCTTAGCCCGAACCTTTGCAAGTTCATCAATGCTGATTCGTACACTGCGATCTTGGCCGTTTGGATCACGCTTCAACTCCTCTGGGTCACCATGCTTTTGTTTACCCAGTTCATTCAGGTAGCTCGAGCCATGACTACGTATGAGAACATGTTTGGTGTTAGGGACGGAAGTGCGATTACCGCTCTCACATCTACTGGCGCCCCTCTCGACCCCAACCACCCATCTCTATCCGCAACAGCAACCCCTGGTGGTCACCACCACAAGCACAAGGGCGGCATGCTCAAGTCTTTAAGTCGTACCCTTGGTGTCGACCCCTTTATCGAGACCATTACCGGCAGAGGTGCCGTCTCTACCAAGAACAAGCGCAAGAAGAAGAACCCCTACAGCCGAGGCTGCATTGCCAACTGCAAGGACTTTTGGTGTGATCCTGCGCCTATCTTTGGCCAAAGAGAGAACGGAGCTGCTGTACTTGGTGGCGAGAGGGTTGACTACACAGCCATGTACGAGAGCCCTGGACTGATGCAGTTGACGGGTCGCAGAGAGCGCGGTGGTTACGAGGCCGTTGGAACGGAAGAGGTTTAGACGATGACGAGCTTTGCTTTTGGGAACTGAGGAGTCGTTAATCGGGACACGTTATACGACCGGCGCCAACTATATAGAGATTGGTGGTGAATGACGGGTGAATGATGCATTACGACTATATGCGGGTACTTGGGAGAGTATTCTGGTAGACCAGGGGCTTCAAGAAAAGAATAGAGGCGTCTTCATCATGACCATTCTTCTCTTTTTCTTTCTTGTACTCTAGTGGAAAGTGTTCAGTTGGGTACGGGGTATATGACGAGAACTGTATACTAGCAGCGGATGTAATGTTGACCTTAGCGGTGAGGGCGTTTAGATGAAGAAATTGTATTTGGAAGTTTGAGTTTCAGAACTGTCAGAAGTTCCTGTGAAGCCTGCAGGATCTACATGATCATGAATTATTGCCAACTAGGACAATAGCTCCCGTGCTGATCGGTTACAAACGGTCAGATCGTTATTGAAGAAGGCTACAAAGCGTTCGTGCCATGATAGAAGCTAGACTAGTCTTCTGCTCGTGTAATATATATCGCGGAAAAACTGCGAACACCTTTTCAGTGGCGAGCTTGAAACATGATATATCAACAACCTTCGCAAAACCCCCAATCGCAACACACACCCAAGACTCACCTCGTTCCAACTCCAATCAGAACACCCAAAGCCCATCGATCTTGCGGGCCTCCGATCTCAAAAAGATCGCAGTATCAGCATGGAACTCGGTCAGAGAAAGGA